GTGGTATTTTTATAGCAGTCCTAGCAGAGTAATATTAATACATTTCTCCCTCCCCTTTTTTGTGTAGAGGAGAAGGTGAGCATGTCACATAGTGGTGGTGGTGGTATGGAGTGCAGGGAGGTGTGAGACCCTGGTTGCTTTCCACTATATCACATTGCTACTTTACATTCTGGTTTGCTGACCACCCAATTTCAATTTAGTGTCCTGGGATGCCATGTTGGGAATCAACGCTGTGAAAGTCTGAGGTTTTCTAAGTATGCAGTCTCACTCTTTGTGTGCCAGACAACGAGATCAGCAATTATGTACCAAAATAGTTCAAATTATGATTTTGCCTGGCACATCTCTTAATCCCTCAGAAGTAAGGTCTTTATGATTGTCAGCAATCTGCTATTTCAGATGAAATACATGAAATTTCAATTTCTCTTCATGCATATGTGCAGAATTTGCAGTTACAAACTGTTTTTCCTGAAAAAATTGATTAGCCTAACTAGACATCCATGAAATGAAAGGTACAAAGGCTGATTTATAATTTGAACCCTAGGAATACATCACTAAGTATAATACAAATACTGTTATTCTTTATTCTGTTGGGATTTCTTTGAAAGGCATTTCATTATAATTTATTTGAACAAAATCCACAGAAAAATACTAAATAAGGACTATAAAAATGCACATTATAGGAGAGACTTTAAAATGTTAGCATAACACTGTTAATTTATTTGCACAACATTTACCTTTAATTCTTAATGTTAACTCTTGACCATTTAGTCACCTTTATTACTTGGAAACACAAGTTGTGCCCTATCCTTTAGGATGATGTGACTTTTCTTCATATGTCGAAGGCAACAAAGACATGTAATTTTTTTCCTTTTCTTTAATATTTATTTGAAGCAAAGGATTTTTCTCCGGCCTGCACTTTCTTTGGTCAGCTTCATTGTAGTATGACTTAGTTTCAATAAAACTCGCAGATTTCAAGTGTGCAATTCCATTTGACAAATGTATACAGTTATGTATAGTCATGATCTAGAACATTTCCATTACCTCTAAGAGTTCACTTGTGTCCCTTTGGAGTTACCCCACAACCACCATTCTGGCCTCTGGCAAAGACTGATCTGATTTCTATTAGTGTAATTTTGCTTTTTCTAAAATTTCATGTAAGTGGAATCACACAGTATGTAATCTTTTACATGTCTGGCTTCTTTCACTTAGAATAATGCTTTTAAGATCCATCCACATTGTTTGGTGTATCAGTTTCTTCCTTTTTAGTGCTCAATGATATCTACTGTATGAATGTATGACAATTAGTATATGTAAATGAACATAAAATTCTTTTCAGGTTTTGTCTATTTTCAATAGTGCTGCTATAAACATTTGTTTATAAGTCTCCATGTATACATATGTTTTCGTTTTTCTTGGGTAAATACCTAGGAGTGAAATTGCAGGATCATAAATGTGTATTTACCTTTATGACCAAAGTGGCCTTAACATTTTGAGCTCTCATTAGCAGTGTGTGAGAGTAGCAGTTGCTCCCCATCCTTCACAATACTGGTATTATTAATCTTTTAAATTTTAGCCATTCTACAGGGTGTGTTGTTGTATCTTTTTGTGGTTTTAATTTGTATTTACTTAATGACTAATGGTATTAAGCATCTTTTCTGTGTTTATTTGCCAATGTCTGTCTTCTTTGGTGAAGTGTCTGTTCAACTCTTTTTGCTTGTTTTAAAAAGCTGGTTTGGCATCTTATTATTGAATTTAAGAGTTCTTTATACAATTCCTTTATCAAGATATTTGTTTTGCAGATATTTTCTCCCAGGTTGTGTTTTGCCGCCATGCCTCCTCCTCCTCCTCCTCCTCCTCTCTCTTTCTCTCTTTTTTTTTTCTTTTGTCACTAGGATTAGGATGTGTCTTAGTGGAGGCACTGGGGCTTGTCCATTGTGCTTTTGATGTGTAAAGCCGATACTTGAGCAATGACACAAGGAAGTTGATAGCCAAGTGGATATTGTACACAAGCTCATCTGTCATTTTCACTGGCCAGTGGCCACTGACAGACACAGCACCTTCATCTGGAACTTGATTGTGGACCTCTGCTTGATCAGAGACTCTGAGGCCAAAAAATCATCATACTTCTCATTCAGCTTCTCGACTAGCTTCTTATTTTTGTTGAGTTTCTCCAGCGCCTGGATGTCCATGTGGGGGATATCCATAGCCTTGGCCTTGTCACAGTGCTGTTGGTACCCCAGGACACACACGGAGAAGTTGGGGCAGAGAGTGGACTTAAGCCTGATGGTTCCCAAGAACCGAATGCCTTACTTAGGGTCATGGTTCTTCAGTGAGATCTGCAGCTCCACCATTTGCAAAATCTCTGGCACTTGTGCAAGTGTGGCTGGAGACTTTGCTGCTCATGGTGCCCTTTCATTTTCTTACCAGTGTTTTTTGAAAAACAAATGTTTTAAATTTTACTGAGACCCAATTCATCATTTTTTATTTCTCATTTCATGTTTTTATGTCCTATTTAATCTTTGCTTAACCAAACTGCACTAACATTTTCTCCTGTTTTATTCCAGAAATTTTATAGTTTTATCTCTTTCATTTAGGTTTATGACCCATTTCAATGTGGTGTGGTAAGGGATTTTGACTCTCAAATTAAAATTTTTTTTAGAAGGTAATTTGAAACCCACTTTCTGCCATTGGATATAAAAGTTAAAGAAAAAAAAGAGAAACAAACAAAAAAAGAAATCCACATCACTGCACAAATTTGTGTCGAGACATAATTTGTCTCTACCCCCTCACTTTCAACCAGTTAAACTGAAGGAAGTACAGAAATCTGCAAAACAAGTATCTTGATAAAGGAATTGTATGAAGAACTCTTAAACTCAATAATAATGCCAAACAGTTTTTTAAAACAAGCAAAAAGATTTGAACAGATACTTCACCAAAGAAGATAGGAAGTACAGATAGAATTTATATGTGTTACTCAGCCTAGTTACTACTGGAAGCCTGAAAATTTCTTACTTTTCCTCATTGTAACTTGTGTTATGCCCTCTTTTTCATTTCTAATAAGGATTATTTGTATCTTTATTAATTTTACCATTCAAACATTTACAGCTTAACTTTTCTGTTTGCTTCTTTGGTCTCTGATAGGGATGTGTTAAAATCTTCTATTTATACCTGTTGATATGTTAATTTTTCTTTGTAAAGTTTTTGCTTTATTAATTGAGAGGCTGTGATGTTTACTTCTAAAAAGTTATAACTATATTTTATTGATGAATTGTTCCCTTATTATTATTGAATATCCCTCTATTCTTTATTTTTTTTGGCCTTGATTCTAATTAACTTGGTATTATTATTGCTATAACAGTTTTCTTCAGGATTATATTTCCCTGGTAAATATTTTTCCATCCTTTTATTTCAAGGATGGTTTTGTCTTATAGGTGTCTCTTATAAGCAAAATATAACTGCATTTTTTTTAACATATCATATAAAAAATCTCAGATATTTTATTTTTTTAACTTGAAAAAATTATTTTGTTAAGCCATGGGTAATCAAATTCACCAATTTGATTCACCGTTTTCATTATTTCTTTTTTTTTTTTTTTTTTTGAGACAGAGTCTCACTATATTGCCTGGGCTAGAGTGCTGTGGCGTCAGCCTAGCTCACAGCAACCTCAAACTCCTGGGCTCAAGCGATCCTTCTGCCTTAGCCTCCTAGGTAGCTGGGACTACAGGCACGTGCCACCGTGCCCTGCCAATTTTTTCTATTTTTAGTTGTTTGGCTAATTGGGTCTCGCTCTTGCTCAGGCTGATCTTGACCTCCTGAGCTCAAAGATCCACCCGCCTGGGCCTCCCAGAGTGCTAGGATTACAGGCGTGAGCCACCGCGCCCGGCCAAAGGATGACTATTACACCTATTCCAGACACTATGGAAAGTAATTCATTTATTTATTTATAGACACTGGAGTCCTTGATGGAGAATCTGGTGGCAAGGGAAATTACCTCTTTTATGTAAGAGACTTAAGTTTTTCCTTTTAGAGGTTAAACATTTTATGGCCCCTGGTAAAGGCAATATTCAATAAATACCTGTTTGTGGCAATTTTTTAATTTGGTTGGGTAATGTTGTTATTCCTATAGTTACTATGATTCCAAATGATTTCAGGGACAGAAATAAAAATATGGACTTTAAAGTGATCTTTAGTTTCCTTTTCGCACTTTGGACACCACTTTTCATAGCACATTATGTGAAAAGTATTTAATGTTCCTGTTGAAGTAAAAAGCTTAAAATACAGGGCCTTTTGAGACTCTTCCAAAGCAGCTGATGATAAAACAAGAACGAAAACAAAAGTGATCATGCACAAACAAGAGAAATAATGTGTACATGACTTAAAAAGTGTAACGAGATGTATCCAAAGGAGAGTCAGAGGAAAAAGAGATTAGGACACGAAAGAACTAAAAATTTTGAGTGTTTATGTTAAAACTGTGAGTCTTTAATGGTACAGAATATCCTTACTCAACTTGTACCCCCAATGTGCAGTACAAGGCTTGGTACACAGCTGGCAATCAACAAATGTTCGCTAAATTTTAAATGAATTAAAATTCATTCATGGGGGCGGAAGTTTACAAAGTAAAGTCTGAGTCGCGTTATCTCTAAGAAGACAGAGGAAGTAAAGATTTGGAGTTTTCTGTATTTTACCCCTTTTTAGTCCGTATCCTGAATGGATGTCGCAGATTCACCATTTCCTAATTAACCAAGTTCTGCCAACTTACACAGCTTTCTCGGAAACGATTTCACTCCCCACAGTCACCCCGTGGCGCCATCTTCCGGAGCTGTGAGGAAACCGCGGTCTTAACACCGCCACCCTCCGTCGTCGTTCTTTACGGCGCCCCTCCCCGTCGCTTTTCGGAGGCTCTCTGGACGCATGCGCCCTAGACGGGACGCTAGCCTATGAGAGACTACAATTCCCAGAAGACCGTGCCAAAGGAAAAAAAAAATCCCGTGGCTGAGGGCAGACATGAAGGCTCGCGAGAGAACGAGGTTCAGGAGGCTGCGCGCAGTGGGTGGAGGGAGGCTGGAGAGAGTGAGGAGGAAGAGGAGGAGGTGCACTCCCACAATACCAGGCGGGAGGGCGGGTAGGCGGTTTGTATCCGGGCTGTGAGGTGCTCGGAGCCTCGGCGGACCTTGCTGCCTCTGTCTCTTTAACGCGAGAGGAAGCGATGCAGAGGGGTGGAAAATGGCAGAGCTGCAGATGTTACTAGAGGAGGAGATCCCGTCTGGCAAGAGGGCGCTGATAGAGAGTTACCAGAACCTGACCCGGGTGGCGGACTACTGTGAAAACAACTACATACAGGTGAGGAGCGCGGGCGCGCTGGCGGCCGGCGGGCTCTGGCTGGGTGGAGGAGCCGCCGCGGCCGCCCGAGTGACCAGCCCGCTGGGCGGGGTGGGGAACTGCCCTAACCTCAGCCGCTGCCCCGGCCCCGGCCGAGGAGGGAGCAAGTGGCCCGGCTGAGGGAGTCGGGCTGCGATACAGGAAGTGGCTGTGGTGGCTGGAACCCATGGAAGGGGAGAGAGAAAATGGGCGAGGGAGCCGGGAGCCCGCCGCTGCCGCAGCCGGCGCCCCCCTGCCGTCCGCTTCCCCGCGGACTCGGCCGCCGGAGTCGCGCTGCCCCCCGGCAGCTCCCGTTCGCCGGGCTTCTGTCCCGGAGTCCCCAGCTGCCGCCGCGCTGCCTGTGCGCCCCCGGTCTGGGACCGGGAGAGTGAGAGGAGAGGAAAGGGCAGGGACGAGGCGCAGGGAGAAGCCGCAGAAGGGAGAGGAAAAGCGGGGTGTGTGTCGGCGGAGAGTGGGGTGGGGGCGATTATGTCAGTTCAGCCCAGAGGGTGTGTCTTTTATTTATTTATTTTTTTAAAAAAATTTGTCATGAGTCACATTACAGAGACCTCCCGGAGGAGAGGAGGAAGCGGGTGTGGGGAGTGAGGGAGTGCGTTTGAGAGAAGTTAATCTTAAAATTCATTTAATTGAAGGTTTGTAAATGTGCCTGCCTGTCCGTTTTCAAGTCGGGTTTTTTCCCCCTCTCATCATTTTCACTTCCTCCCCCACCATGATGTATTCTAGGGGTTGTTAGGGCTATGGTTAATGATAAAACACGAATTATTAACTACTTGGAGAATTGTCTTAAACACTCTCTCTTCCTCCAAAAGTTCTTGAACTGTAGCCTTCATAAATAACTTAAAATAGAATGGTGTCATTGCCGTTGCTTATTTTCTGAGGTTTCTCTCTTGCAACCTAAGTAAACGTATAGAATATGAATCCAAATAGATTAATGAACATACGTATGTAGCCTTTGAACTACAACGTAAAATATCTCTTGTTGTAAGTTAGAAAATTCTTGGGACTTTATCTGTGACAGATGCTTTTCTGTTTATTTTTATTTTAATGCTTGGAAGTGAAGTGTGTGTGGTAGTTTTGTAGATCTTTAACTGTGTAAACCAACAGTTTGCAGTAGAAGCAAATAAAATAGCAGAGCCCTTTGTATCAGTATAATGACACCAAAAATGCACTTGTTATTGGTAAGGCAAGACCAAAACGTGGTTTGAAAGGTTAGGGTTATTGCAATTCATAGAAATTTATAGAAATGTCTCCCATGTGATTATCATTTTTAAGAACCATTAGTGTCTGTGTTGGTAAATGCTTTTTGTCTTTATTTTTAGAGGGAGATACTGTTTGCAGAATATTTTGAATATTTCTCAATTTCCATTATTAGTAACATTGTATCTTCAGCAGCACTACTAGGAATTTATCTTCATAATTTTTTTCAAGCTTTTTCTTTAGGAATTCTGATAAGTAAACTTGTTGAATGTCTGCTATGTCTACTGTATTACTTGTTTTTGCCAACTTTATATTTAGCCTTTTAAAAAGCGTTTTAAAATCTAGTAGAAATGTGCATATAGTTTGCAAATAGAAAATTGCTCTTGTAGTTTATCAATATTAAAAATACACAACTTTTATTCAACTTAACATGAAAAACCTTGGAATTGAGGAGAACCTTAATTTTCTGAAAGTTTTACCAAGATTTTGAAAGTCAAAGGGAGAGCACAGGAAGTTAAATAGCCCCCATTCCAGAAAAGTCATTTCTGCTCTTTAGAAGTGGGCAGATAAGTACTTCATAAAGGGGTGGCTCCTTTTTGTTTTGCATGTTGAGAAATCTGACAAGTATATGGTGTGGTAACTGCTATGTGTTGGCAACAGTTAGTAACTGTAAACATGTTTTAACCTGTGTGTTTACTATTTCTTTTTCAGATAGTTATATGCTGTAATGCTTCTTTTTCCCCCTCCCTGACCCCATCCTTTCCCCCTCCTGTCACCATCACATAACTTTGAAGCACTTTAAGACTTCATTGCTAATATGGGTATTAAGATAAGTCTTATTTCTCATGTAGTCTCTCACTTTAAAAAATATTAACACCACAGTGCCAAGAGCCATTGTTACTGGTCCCAAGTTTTTTTTTCTTTTTCTTTTTTTTTGAGACAGGGTCTTGCTCTGTTGTTCAAGCTGGAGTACACTGGTGTGATCATAGCTCATTGCAGCCTCAAACTCCTGGGTTTAAGTGAGCATCCTGCCTCAGGCTCTCAAATAGTTGGGACTACAGGTGTTCACCACCATGCCTGGCTAGTTTTTTAGTTTTTTGCAGAGATGGTGTCTCGCTATGTTGCTCAGGCTGGTTTTGAACTCCTGGCCTCTATCCATCCTCCTACCTTGACCTCCCAAAGTGCGATCATTACAGACACAAGGCACCGTGCCCAACCCCAAGTTTTTTTTTGGTGGTCCTAAAGCTGACACCAGTGAGGTATTCTGATCTTACTGAAAAAAAAAAAAGATTCACACATAGCGATGATGATATCAATATGCTAGTAACCTTTAAACTTTGGGCTGCATGATCCAGGCTACTAGTCACCTTCCCAAGGGGCTCAGACAGAGTCAGGCTCAGACAAGATCAGACAATGATGTGGAGGTTGATGTGGTAGGTGGTGTTGCTAACTTTGTTATGAATGGGTAATGAATAATAGTAGAAATAGCCACTTGAATGTCTACTGAGATCTTTGCATATCCTTTTCGTGAACTTTATTGGGTTATAACTTAACACCCTTCGTAAATACACCTCCTCTCAGGGAAAGTATGCAGTCACTTGTGTTTTGAGAATTTCTTTATACCGAAGGTGAGTTAAGTTATTGCGTAGGTGATTTTTATCCTGAGAATTCAATTTTCATTTTGTCGTTTTCCTGCAGTTTGAAAGCGTAGTCCAGTTTAGCTAAGGTGTTTAATTGAGTTCTTTTGGCTGTACTGCATTTGAGTCCTTGGAGTAGTTTATTAGCTCTGTGGGTCCTGTTGACTTTATTAAATTATATTATTCGCAAAAAAACTTCTCAGAAGATTCCACTGTCTTAAGAAGGACAGGTTTTAAAAGTCATTGTGAGGTAAATACTATTAAAAATAGAAAGTGTTTTTATATAGATATCTATGTGGACATTTGGAAAAAAGGTCTTTTTGCTTTTTCCATGTTTTGTTTGCTATGACCAGATTGAATTGTTTGGTGGATTATGGCAAGGACAGTCACCCCTTAACTTGAACATGCTTATTCATCTAGTCAGTTCTTTCTGCTCTACCTTAGGGTCCATACTGGCTTTGTTATGGGGACTGTTTGGGGGAATAGGAAGGAAAGCTAAGTGAAAAGGAGTAGAAACTGTTTAAGAAAGGTTTCTCAGGATGCAGATTGCTAGGACAACAAAGTCTTCTATACAGCTTAACTTTTAAATTTAATTTTTCTTTCTCTTCCTTGAATTCCACCAACAAGAGCTTCATTTGTGTTATCAAGCATGTTCTGCACTCTGGGAGTATAAAGAGGACATCATTACAGTATTTTCCCGTGAGCTATGTAGTTTAGCTTGCTTATTCTTCCCATGACATTTGCTTAGTTATACATGTTTGATCTTGGAAGGCAGGTAATTTTCGAGCAGGAGTATGTTGGAGTAGGTAAAAGCTAACATTTCTGGTACTGTACGTTTATGCCAGTTTATAAACTATGTCACAATCATAATAATTCTATGCTTTTTCTTTTTTGAGTAACAGATGGACAATCTGAGGTTCAGAGATGTTAAATGTCTTCTCTAAAGTACTCTAGCTTGTATGAGACAGTGCCTAGAATCAAACCCAGGTTTTCTGATTCCAAATCCTGAATTCCTTTTAATAAATCCTGAACGGGGTGCTTAACTGCAGCATAGGGGATAAAAAGAATGTGTGAAGAGCGTAATGGAGAAGGGTAGAGGGTAATATTAATATAATCGCCTCTATTTAGTGAATGCCTTTGCTGTCACAGTCCTGCTGGTTGATTTGTATTATCTCTGACCCTTACAAACTCCCCGCGATAGGCAGTGCTCTCTTGTATATATGAGGAAATTAGGACTCAGAAAAGTTAAATAAATTTTTTGTCTTATAGCTAGTAATTGGCAGTGAGGATTTCTGCCTTACTCTCACAGACTCCACAGGCTATGCTCTTTCCATATTATGTTGTTTCCACACCAATGAATCTGGAACTCAAGACTAGTTTAGGAATGTCATGGAATAAATAGAATAGGCTTTTGTTGGGCAACTCTGGGAACCTAATAACTCTTCTACCATTGTTTCTTTTGAAAAGCATTCTGAGTTTCAAGTTGTGAATATAAGCAGAGATGTGTTTATAATTTAGGGACTTTACTGTATCACCCCAGATTATAGTAGTAGTTTTGGCACTTGAGTATCTTTATCCAAAATGCTAGGGACCAGAAGTGTTTTGGATTTCAGATTTGTTTTGGATTCTGGAATATTTGCAGTATATACTTACCAGTTGAGCATCCCTAGTCTGAAAATCTGAAATTGGAAATGTTCCAGTGAACAATTCCTTTGAGTGTCTTCTTGGCACTCAGAAAGTTTTGAATTCTGGAGCATTTTGAATTTCGGATTAGGGATACTGAGCGCGTGTAGGAATCATACGCTGGTTTTTCACTGAGCTCCCTGTATCCTTTTCTGTGAAGGATCCCGTTTTTTTTTTTTTTTTTTTAATTCTGATTTCATCGTTGCAATTGTACTAAGTAATTTTGTAGAAGAATTAGTAGAGGTTAACAAAAAATGTCTTGAAATATTTTGGGTA